GTGCTGTGCATGTACAGGAACACTAGGCATGGACAATCCTGGAAATGGGTTCAGTGAATTGTTGTAAGCACCAAAATCATGTTTACTATAATTCTACTAGGAAAGATACAGCTTACTCTGAATCCCCAAGGAGAAGGAAATTTGAATCAGAAAAATGAGAACAACAGTAAAGTGGTGCATTCAACTAGCCTGCTGTGGTTACAAGGGTTTAACCTCATCCCCACCGTCTTCTTTGTTTGACACAGCACAAATGACCGTCCCTAGGTCAGGGTTGCCCTGTGTTAGCTAAACAAAAGCACTTATTGTTTTTTGCAAGCAAAAAGTCAAGGGTGGATCCAGGACCAAAAATCAGGAGTTAGGAGCGGACTTGTTTTACTTTTTCAATTTTTTGAGGGGTTTTGATACATTTGGGGCTTTCTACACACAGTTTGCAAGGGAATGAAGAAAAAAAAAGAAATGGCTCCCATTCCTTCCGAGCTTTCTTTCCCAGATACATCCTTGCAAGCATGTGTAACACATGAGACTCTAACCTGCAGGGTAACCTGCCTCTTCAACTTTGGAGATTTCATCGTTGGTTGGTCCACTCACATCACAATGTGGGGAATACATTAGCAGCCATGGTAGTAAATTCACTTGGCAATCAAGCCTTCCAAAATCTAAACACAGGGAATGACCAAAAAACACAAGAAAAGGTACAGTTTTAAAAGATTTTTCATTCACAAACGAAAACTTTTTTTTTTTTGCACGAGCACGAGGACAGCCTGTAAATCTGTTGTTCTTTTGGTATCACAACAAAAGTGGAATATCCAACAATAACTGTTGTATGATTTTGATTTGCGTGACTTCCATGTCTTTCCCACTACTTTTTCCTCCGACAACCAACACAAACAAGACTCATTTTTTACCACTTTTAAATGACTTTCCAGGGTGATTTTGTTTAGGATTTTCTATGCCCGCAGCAACCATGTACAAAGGAAAAATTGCTTTAAGTACCAAAATCACATAATTTGTTACAATTATAATTTGCGAGGAAAGACTTGAAGGATGACTTACTTTATCAAAACAATGATGCCAGAAGATGAGCCCACAGGCAGGGGTCCACCCACACTGCTATCACCTTACTCTATCGGAAGAATGATGTCAGAAGATGAGTCCACAAGCCAAGGACCAACCTCGCTGCTCTCGCCTTACTCTATCAGGACAGTGATGCCACGAGATGAGCTCACAGGCAGAAAACCAACCAAGCTGCTATCACCTTACTCTATCAGGGCAGTGATGCCAGAAGATGGGCCCAAAGGTAGGGGACCAACCACACTGCTATCACCTTACTCTATCAGGGCAGTGATGCCAGAAGATGAGCCCACAGGCAGGGGACCAACCACACTGCTACTGCATTACTCTATCAGGGCAGTGATGCCAGAAGGTGAGCCAACAGGCAGGGGACCAACCAGGCTGTCATCCGCCTTCAACACCTGGTAAA